TCCACATTTAATTTAAGCAGTATGCAATGGCTTCTTCATATGGCTACTTATATAATAAAAATTAACTTGGAGTATAAAAAAAAATACACCATTGTGGGGTTTATTACTCTATGTGGTTGAGTTTCAAGTGTTTTTCATTGAAACATCTGTAAGTAATGTGTAGGTCTAATTTTAAATCCTGGCAAATATTTTCCATTTAACATTTGGTTTTACTGACAGACTTGGAGCGGTGGTTTTCAGAGCTTGTCAGTAACAGATACGTATTTTCAAAGATAAACAGTTTTTTAATTGAAGATAACTGTAACCCAATACCTGCTTTTCCTACCCCTCTTGTATTTTAGTGGTTATGAGCAGCAACACAGACACTCATCCCCTGTCCCCCAGACCTTGGCCATGGCAGCAGCACTGCGGTGGTGCGGGCTGTCCCCCATGGGCAGTACCAGGSATGTGGAGCCACCTGGGGCCACACAACATCCTGAGAGCGAGTGCAGCCCTAGGCATGGGCTCACCAACCCAAGGGACAAGGCGACAGTCCTGAACTCCCTGRGACTGTCTCCTTCAGAGATGTCCCCTGAGCTCTTTTGCAGGAAAAGTTACTTCTGGAGGGTGGATTTGTGCCTCAGCCCCAGGTGGGGCTTGGCTTCCCGCCGCCACTCAGCAGCACACGCTCCGCTCCAAGGGCCAAGTGCGCTCRCTTGCACTGCAGCGTCTCAGCATCACGGCTTTACTCCAGGTTATTTCGGTTTCAGCTGCAGACAAAATGAAACAGCTCGAGCAGGCAGGCTGGCTGCACGGCCCATAAAAGTGGAAAATGCACTGCCTTGTCAGTGGGCGTCACCTGGCCTGGCTGGGGCTTGTGCTCCTGGTGCTTTGTGTGAGAGCCAGGGCCACGGCCGGGCTGAAGGCAGTGGCAGAAATACCCAGTGTGAGCCAATGAAAGGCCAGTTTGGAAGCTAAATGTTAAGATAATTTTCAAAAAGAAGTCTTGAAAAGCTAGAAATGTGGGAGAGTCACTGGTTTCACCTGAAAAAAATGCCATGGCATTATTTGCAATTAATGCCACAATGACCTAATCTCTAAATACAAAGACTGTGTGCTGTAATCTAACCTGTTGGTAAAACCTGAGATCAGGCCAAGAAATCTTGTGTATTTGCTGCCCACGTGGGACTGCTGAGGCAGACCAKAGCCCTGCAGCGTGGCAGGGCTCCATCAGCTACTGAAACACCATTTTGTGCAGTGCTTGGTAGATGGATGGTGCCTATTTGTGTCACCCTACTCCGTAATTCCCTATCTCTACTTTTTAGTGTTTCCTCACCATGATTTTAYGAAGAAGTTTAATCCTGCTTTCAATGAAAAGTAATAATAATAGTACAGTATTCCCTTCAGACCCAGGCTGTTGTCTCATTGAATCCTGAACTGCAGCAGCAGAAAATGGGGTTTTGGTGCAGGGCCATTGGCCATGGTATGGGTCCCTAGTGTGGAATGCTGGTGGGAGGCCAGCAAGGGGCACTGTGGCAGCCAGCGGGAGCACAGGGMCCTCCAGGCTCCTGCAGCCCTGTGCTGAGCCTCCAGGAAAGAGTGTCAGTGTTACCTAATTTAACGACTTTTCATTTAGAGAGAAAAACACTTCTTTGCTACCAAAGACAACCACTTTCATTTAATTTGGAAACKGCCTTTAATATTTTCTGATGGTCTGTGTTGTGGATTCAGCAGCTGAACTGGAAATGTGGGCTTGAGACAGCTCTCTGTGCTTCCTGGGTCTTAGTCTTCTTGGTGGAGACCCTGACAGGGATCGAATCACAGGCTCTTCATGAGTTGACCTCCGGATTAAAAAAATAATCACAAAACCAGGTTTCAGTTTTAACATGTCCCTGTTTTCTTTCATCAGAAGTTTTGAAATGCTTCTGAGGAGGTTGGTGATAGCTGTAATCTCAGCCAGTCATTTCTCATAAACATTGAGAGAAACTGCAGCTTTACTGAATATAGCGTCTGTTTTAAATGGCTGGTGGTTCACTTGGTTTTAATATGAGTACAAGCACAGAGGCAAGTAAAATCTAATGAAAGTGCTTAGAAGATTTTGTTTGGATACCCCACAGCAGCCGTGGTTTATACTGAAAGGGAAAAGATTTCTTTATAGCCAGGTCTGCAGAAGCCAGAAATTTAATTTTGCTCCACAACTTATTTTATTGCATTTTTAATTTTCTCTTGCATTACCCTGACCCTTTTCTATAGCTTTTGACGCCTGGTGCTTAATTACTTATCATTAGCAATGTACATGGGGGCCTTCCTGCATATTTATAAATGTGATCATTAGTACATGGGAAGACAAAGACTTCTTTAAGACCATCATTAGTTATTCTGTTTTCATAGAAATGTTCATTAGAGAAACTACCCACCTGGTTAAATAATTATAATTAAGAATCGGTAATCTCCTTTGCATTTTTAACTTGATCTTGAGGATGCGTRTGCACAGCTAAAGGAGCCTTGTTTGGCCATCTTACTGTCTTTTCTTTTTGGTTTGAATTGTCAAGCAGATTTAAATTATGTGTTTTGGAACTGTGTACTCCATAGAATGATTTATGGAAAGATAGGTTATTAAAAAAAAAAAAAAAAAAAAAAAAAAAACCAGAAAGAAAGAAATCAACCCTGCAATTATCTCTGAATTCATTAACTGTGCACTGGCAGCAAGAGGTTGTGTAAGCCATTTACTGTAATGCACGGTATAGAGTTAAAACAAAATGTCACTGGAGCCTGATTTCCCTGCCCTAGCTGTGGTATTCACTGCAGACATCCAGACTGCGGGAGAACGCTTGCAGAAAGGTATCAGTTCCATGTCAGGCTCTGGTGTTACTGGGAAATGCTGACAATAAGTGTGATGGTGTCAGTAGTCCTGCTCCCAGCCATTGTGGGGAGCTGGTGGGAAACCTGTCCCAAATGTGCACGCCTGCCCATCTGCTGTGCCTGCAGATGGGGAAGGGAGAGCATCACACCGCCGTGCCCACMGTGGGGCACAGGGAGGGCTCACCTCTCAGACACCACGGCTATAGGAAGAGCTTGTCAGTGGCATAAATATCATCTGTAAACAATTAAGCAGCTACTGCTCATTCAGGGCAGTTCTGAGAAGCAAAGGAAGTCTGCAATCAGTTATATCTCCAATTACCATAAAAATATATTAGCCATTCATTCATTTATTAATGATTCATCAGTTAACCACACATAATGAGCAAATAATTAGCAATGCTGTACGGTTGCCAAAATTGAAGAAGTGTTGGCATTTTAAAGATGAAAGGTTGCATTTATGTAAAAAGTCGGGTGGTGATAAAGTTAATACAGAAGATAATTATAAAAGTGCCTGTCCTATTTTAGAGGCTGAGGTCCCGCAAAACTCGCCTAATTGAACCGAAATTAATATTCTTCAGAAGCACGCATGTTACTGGTTCCTCGCTGCTGCATTTAGTGGGAGATCTCCCTTCAGTAAGGTACATCGCACAATATAAGTTAATAAAATGCCAGACAGCAAGACTGCGTTCTTTGTTTGCTCGGTTCAGGGCCTTGTGGAAAACAATAAATTGCATTCATGTCAGCCAAGGCCCATCCCTTTGCTAATTACCGTTTGGTGYTGAAATGACTTCTGTGAAATTGGGAGCATGAAGAAACACACAGCCGTACAAGGGAGGCTTTTCAGGCAGTGGCAGTAAATGTGAGATAGGCCTTAGGCACACAGATGTTAAAACAGTGAATTCCCCTACAGATTACACTAATGGAAACCCTGTCAGGGTAAGTCAGATCTGGGGTCTGTGGTCAAAATCTAATTAATGTTCCTGTACTTAAAAAGAAAATGAATGCCTGGAGGTGATGAAGAACACATAAGAAACTTGCTTGTTTGTAAAATTGCTGGTGTGGATGGCAACTGCCACTGAGCCCTTCCTTAGGAGGYAACACCTGCTACAGGAGGTGCTAGCACTGCTTGGTGCAGGGAGGTGGGCACTGGGCTCAACCCCTCTTGCAAGTCCCACATGAAAATGGCTCTAGGTAGCTGACCCACAGGGAATGTGGATAGTCATCACCGTCATTGAGCACTTCTTCATTCCACACGGCCGCCCAGAGTCAGCAACTGTCGTTGTTTAGGAAATACTTGTACCTGACGACATAAGAGAGGACCAGCTCCTCTTTGTGCGAAAACAAAGGCTCAGCCATCTATGTTGAGCTTGAGGACATTGCCGGGGCTCTTACAGCTCTCACAGCTGCATTGTGCATGGCCTGTGCAATAACAGAGGAAATGAATTTATAATGCAACAATCTCTTCATTTTCACAAGCACAAAAATTCCCCTAAATACTTAAAATAACACTCAGAGTGGGACAGACCTTAAATTTTGAATAAATGAAACCCTAATCCAGTGTGTTGCTGAAACAAGCTTGTTATTAAAGAAATAAATTTGAAACAGCAAGTGGTTTGAGAATTTTGGATTTAATTATTTAAATCTGCTTAAGATAACTCTCTAGCACTGTGTTTGGGTTTCCTGTTGAGAGCATGTTTTCTGGGAAAGGTATTCCACCCAGTGCCTTGGAAATATTAACTTTCTCATGCAATAGTGGTTTAAGCAGTAGAGATGAATAATTATWATTATAATAAGCAAAATATTATATGGCAAATTGGTGGTGTTTCTTGGATGCAGCCTATCATAAAAACTGCACAGAGCCAATCGTGTTTGGAGAGATCACCAATCTCCTTGGTTAAAAGRCACATGGAATGTGGCTCCAAATGCTCTTCAGGTAAAAAGTGATTTCCTCAGCTGTGACTCATGAAATCTGAACCACCAGATTTGTAATTTTAAGCTAATTTGAAGTATCATATGTTATTTGATAGGTAAATATTGCAAGTCAGACTTTGTCCATTGCTGATTGCTGTACTTTAGTTAAAAACTACTACTTCATATTTAGGATATAAGACTTAATGCAGCATAGATCAAGATGACAGAATCTATCTTGTGTTTTGTAGGGTCATAACAGAAGTTTCCCAGATCCTGACAAGAAATGTATTCACGTTGACCCAATCTGCATGAAACCCAGCAGAGGGATGGGAACCAGAGAGGTGTTCCTCATCCCCAGCCACAACCCAGGCATGCAGTAAGTCATCTTCCCTAGCCAGGAGTGCATAGGGAAGTAACTTCCCTCTCTGAGTCATGTTTCCTTCCCCCCGGTTTGTTATGAGACAGAGGGATACAGCCATGCTACGTGCTGGCTCAGTCTCACCACTTGGCTTGGCTCCTGCAGGGCAAGCACACTGTACATATGCTGTGAAGATCAGGAAAGGTGTTTCTGTGCTGAATATCCTCACAAGTACTCATTTATGTCTTCAAGGCAGGATGCTCATCTTAGCCATTTTCTTTCAGTTTCTTTCCGTTTCTTTCAGGTTCTCTGCATTGTCTGTTTGCAGCACAGCTTTTTCAGGGGGATTACATGCTAGTTTGAGGACCAGACTTTGTTGCTAARTATTGCCAACATTCACTCTGTCAGTCATGTCGGCCAGAGTGACTCAAGTGCCACTCAGGCACAGGAATGAAGCCTTCTTTTTTTCCTATTGCTACTGAGGTTGCATTGATGTAACTGAATTTGTTCCTTCAGTCRTGCATATGAGCAAGGTCTTAGGGAGTATTCAGTTTTCTAGCCAAAATTTGTGGGGACAAAAGAAGGCAAGTCCAGACTTGGTATTAATYGAGTTAAATGGTTCAGTTGCTACTCCCAGGTCTAATGGTCAACACAGCAATATTATTGTCTGGTTCCAACAGCACCAACCAACTCAGGAGCTGGTGCTCAGTTCAGCGCTGGGGTCTCTAAAATTCACAACATGTGTAAGGATGCAGTTCAACCAAACCYCAAAGGATTTGCCTAGTTGTCCTCATTCAAGTATGCTTACTGATCTACTTAGTGATTATTAGCAATGTTTTCTTATAGAARTGCTTTTTATTTTCAAGGAAAGGTCCTACAAATACCTTTTTCTTGAGCAATAATGTCTATGTTTATGCGATACATGAGGCAGATGTTGATTTAAAGCTTAGTTCTTGCTTAAGATATTTCTCAGTCCACTGMAAGGGGTTGATTAGTGTCCCCTAGCTGAACCATTTTTTCCCTCTGTTACTTTGACCCACTGATTTAATTAAGGTCTAATAAAGAGAGGGCTGAAAGATTGTTAAAAATACTTCTTTTTTTCACAGATCTGACCTATGCTGGTCTGTCAGTGCAATTTGACTYGCACATGCCCTCTTCAATATGTGAGTACACTGATACAGAGTTTGTCTTCTTTAGAGTCAGTTGTTTTTTCCCTCAATGATASGACAGATTTAATTTTGATTTTAACCAAAGCAAATGCTTTCCTGGAGACTTTCTGCTTTAGTGAAAATAAGTAATGAAAAAATAACCAAAACAAGTCGCAGTATCAAAAGGGAAGACCTTAGAAAGCTTAGTGGTGACCCTTTCTTTTTCTGTTTCCTTTCCCATCCTCCTCTTGCCAGCACAGAGGGAGAAAGAGAAATGAAAACTCTGRGTTTGTTTTTCAATTAACAAGAATGACTCAAAGTTTATGAAACATGGTGCGGTTTTCATTGAAAATACTTGCTACTTTTCAACTTTGTGTCTTGCCTAGGTCAGTGTTAATGCTCAAAAAACTACTTCACAGTACTTGTCACATTGCCAAACTSCTGCTTTCCTCTCCCTTCTCCTCCCACCAGCTCTGCAGTTTGCTACTCTAGGGTGAGAAGAGCTGTTCCCAGCATGCTAATTTTGCCACTGAGCAGGCTCATCTGTATCTTGTAAAACAGAGATTAGGATGAATGTGCACCCTCACCACACTCTGCTTCTGTGGTAGGAGAGGACTTCTGGTGCTGGGGCTCCCAGTGCTATCCCTGCTGTGCCAGGATTGCAATKATGGTCTTCAGAAAAATAAAAAAGGAATAAAAGCCTAAGCTGCAGCTTCAAGGAATGGTTCGATATGCTATTCATGCCTTGAAAGAACAGCATGGCTATCCACAGTGGCAGTTTGTGTCTATGAACCTTCTTAGATGGCTCTCGTGCTCAGATTCCTGCGCTGCAGCTCGTTAGCAGTCGAGCTGCCTGTGGGGCTGCRGCAGGTTTGTAGTACAGCAGGATGTGTATTAAAATAAAAATCCAGTTAGGGGTGGTGTGATCCCAGTGCTGCCTAGGCACTAGCAATTAAACCTGGATGAGAATAAGACACCTGGACTTTGGGACTCCTGGGATAAACATACCACTTGCTGAGGGCAGTCCCTGCCCAGGAAAGCACTAAAACAGGTGTATAAATCCTACTGTGTTCAGTGGGATTTAGGCACCTGCTTAAACTTAAGTGCTTGTTTAGAGAGTTTCCTGAATGAAAGCTTGACAATTGTGCCCGAGAGTAACTTTTAAATTAGTTTTAATTTGCTCATCATAACCAGCTGTCATGAGTGTGTAAAAAAGGGGTTTGATTCTGGAGAGATGAAAGACTTCCCAGGCCTTTGGCTTTCATGTAAGCACACTTGCTGGATGGCCCGCTTGGTGCTGAGCTGAAGCATCCCTGCTCAGCCCTGCTTTKAATGTGTGTTTCTCTGTGGTCCCTCTGGGGCTGCAGTGCCAGCCCAGCCAGCAGCTGCCCCCACCTGCCTGCACCTCACCAGCAGGGTCCCATTGGAGGCAATCTGCAGGCTGCAACGGAGGAGGAGAAAGTCCATCCTGTATTTAGTAGGTGAGTGAAAATGAAAGTTAAAGGAATGGGAGAGGGGATTTGTGTCCAAGTGGAAGAGTCAACTGAACCTCCCASTTGGAAACAAAGCAGTCCTTTTGTGCCACAGGAGTCAGAAAGCTTCACAAGCTTTTGCTTTTAGGATTTTCCCCCCCTCTATAATCCCTTCTTTCTTACAACAGAGTTTGAGGATAAACTTGAAAATTAATTCAATGTTACATTTACACCAATCAGCCTCAAAGGAAAACCAAAATCCAACAAACTCAAATTACTACTTAATTCTGTATGTGCACATGTTTACATGCATTATCTGCTTAGGAGGCGCCGGACTATATGCAGGACTGTATCCATGTAGCTGAGAGTTAYTTTATTTTTTTCTTTATACACATGGTTAATTAATCAATGGATGGTATCACTGTTGTGCAGCWCTCAGAAAGACTAAATTTGCAATTAAAACATTTTAAAGGCTTTCTTCTGTAGATTCCWTAGGTAATTAAGCTGAAGTGCCTGAACATTTTATATACAAAYGTACTGGAGCAGTGGTAGCTGATGTAGTAGTTAAGGTCAGGTAGAAACCAACCTTCCATTTMGAGTCTTTTTCCCAGTATCTCAGTCGAAACCTCCCTAAATCTAAATTAATCTTCCAGAAATGTATGGGAAATTTGGTTTATGAGGGGAAAAAAGGTCTTACATTATTACTATAGTCTATCAGTCTTCCCTCAGCGTGACTCCATTCATTTTGCAATGCGTGGCTGTTCAGCATTGCCACGGCTGAACTTCAGAACGCTTTTGCTGAAATAAGGCATATCATGGGAACAGTCACGTTGGGTGCCCCCACCAAGGCARGAGCAGGAGCTAAACCCTGCCTGGCTGCAGCCCAGGGAGCTGGGGCAGGTGTAGGGAAGCCTTTGTGTGGCCCACAACAAGGGACTTGGGGACAGCATAATCCTCAAGGTGGCTGTGACAAAACTGGGAGTAAACATGGCTTTACTATGTGTCCTGCTGCAGTGCTGCTGTGGCCTGTTCCAATCCCCAAAACCCCCTGCTTGGGCTACAGCTTCCCTCTTTGCCTCCTGAAGCCRTTCCCTCCCTTGCAGTCTTGCTTCCTCTCCTCCTTGCCAAGTACACTGACTCCAGCCTGATCTGAAAGTTAATTTTAACAAACATCCTGGGCCAAGCCAAGTTAGGATCTGGAGATAGGACATGCCGTGGGAAGGGAGAGGGGTGGGTTGTAAGGGAGCATGAATGCTCAGCCTTGTAATACGTGTGAGAGCTGATGCTCTCTGAGCAATCGAGTGCTTATTATTATTTCTCTTGGATAGGTCACCTGGGAGTGGAGGAATTTTTCATTTTAAATTAAAARGAAATCTTTTATAATGCTCATTTCTAAAAGCAAAAAAAACCCCACCTCATCATGGAAGCAATTAGATGGAGGACATATTGAAAGGAGTGATTAGTTGTTAATTTTTGAGCTGTTGGCCCTGACAGAAGGTTTTATTTTGTCAAGGATTTTTTAAAGGTRTCTTTCATATGCTTGTAGTCCAAGGTTACTTCTCATTCAATAGCAATTACTGTGTGTCTATTACATGCTGGAGACAGCTTGAGGTGGATGCAGCAGTCCCCATCAGAACATGTGTCAAGTCAAAGTGCCAGCAGCTGTCTGAGCCATGGGATAATTGTTCCTATCTGTTTCTGCTCTTTTCCAAGTCCCAGTAAATGTTCTAGGGACTAACTTCCCCCTTCCTTGATGCAACCTGGAAGTACAGTCCAACAGTTTTCATTTTAGGTTCTAAGTCAGCCGTGTCAAGATTTGAACAAGAACCAAGGAGGATAATGGGTCAGATGTAAATAAGAAGTAAAACTACTGGTGAAATAGGTTTTCTTTATTTTTGCCCATCAGATTACAAACCTTAGCTCCACCATCATTTAAAAAAAAATTGAACCTGTAACTGCTGTATGACTGCTCTATTGTATTAGATGGAAACCAACTAACCAGACACCACAATACAAAAAAAACCTCACATTGTATCTCAGAAAAATATGGGGCTGAAAACACAGGAAAAATGCAGTCTTGTTAAAATGTGGACATGATTCAGTAATGGAATGAGTAGAGAAACTTGAATGGATCAGAGTCAAAAACCACTCTGCTTAATTCTTGAGGTTTTTTATTTGCCATTCAGCTTACATCAGTGTTAACATCTACTGAGAAATGCAGCCATTTACAATTTGCAGTTCAATGTGTTACTTTAATTAGTATGAAAATTAAAGGGCAACTATAGGCCAATGTGAATGATTATGGAAATACATGTGCATCACATGCTATGCTCTCATTTWATTAATCGTCTTGTAAACTATATCAAGCACTTTAAGTCAGTTGCTGAGTATAACAACT